GCCCATGGGATGGGGACCCCTCGGCAGCATCGCCCGTGGCCGCGTGCTCACCTGAGACCGAGAGCCTGGCTCCGTTGCTCTGCCGCGTCTCCCCGCTGTACTTGTGCTTGGTGATACACCTGTAGGTGGACAAGGCATCTTCCTTCTGCACGTCCGATATGTACAAACCTCCGTAAGAAGTAATAAAAAACCTATTTTCTGGAGACACAAAGGGAGGAGAAGGGTGAGCGAGCCAGCCCAGACCTGGCACGTCACCTGCCAGGCTCAGGCAGAGCCCCCACACTCCAGGCGGACACCGGAGTTGCCGGCCAGAACCATGCAGGCTCCTTCCCCACCTCCTGCACCCTGACGGCACCGGGGTCTGCAGCTTCGCCTTCAGGGGCTGAAGTTTGAGGCTGGCGAAGTTGGGCCAAACGTGAGCGACCGGCGCTTGCCACAGCAGCCTCGTGCGTGCAACACCAGCATGTGGGTGTGCAACAGCAGCCCCCACGTTGGCAGGCACAGCCTGCCTCCCCCCGGCACTCATCCTGCCGCAAACGCGCCCACCGAGGCCCGAAGGTGGGCTCGGGGTGTCTGTGCATGCACCCGCGCTCCCCAGGGCTCGGACACAGGGTGTTCAGGTGGACTCTGCAGCCGCAGAGGGTGAGCAGAGCGTGTGACACGACGCTCCGCTGCACCGCCACGTCGCTGCGCACCACATAGCAACGCGGCAATTAAAAGCAAACCCGTCCCGCTGAGTTAATAATTAGCTTAACTTGCTTAGAAGCGTGTGAAAACAAATAAGGGCTGGAGCAGCTCTTTGAGCCCCGGGAGGAGGAGGAGGAGGGCAGGAGAGCGAGCAGGGCCGCGCAGCCCCGAGCAGCCCCCTCCGGCCGGTGGTTTGGGAGCCCGGGGCAGGCGGGGAAGGAAGCCTTCACCTCGCTCCTGAAGCCAGCCTGACCCCGCCAGCCTGAGGAATTACATCCTCATCGGTAACAATAGTCGTTAACACAAAGTGCTGTGGCACAGTTTAACGGCTATGTGGAGAGGGGAGTAAGCGGAGGCACCGGCGAGAAGCTCCCTGCCCGCCCGGAAACCCCTTTACCCTGCCCATGGCCCGTGCTCCCCCCGAGAGCAAACCTTCGCCCCCATCCCTGGGGGGTCTTTGGGGCTTATTCCAGCACCATCCGCCACGGAGGCTCAGCTGGGTCAGGGTGGTCCATCTGCTTGGTTACCAGCCAAACCTCCCCCTACCAAACGCAGGGAAGCAGGAGGTAATTAGCAGAGCGGAATGCTCGGAGTTGAAACCTTTAAACCTGGTCTTTAAGTCGGCGATGGCTGCAAACGGCCTCTTCAAGTCCTGCACCATGCCTAGTAAACCAGGGTCTAGCTGGTGAGACCAGCCAAATGTTTTTTTTTCCAGCGCCTTTTGGAGGCACCTGGATATTGTCAGTTTTGGTGGAGGAAAGTGCCCTGGTCAAACCCCGAAGCGCAGGGGAAACCCCAGCGGCGTACAGGACGAGAGGCACCGGCCCCCGAGCAGCCTGGCTCCCCGCTCCCGGGGCAGGACCGCAGAAGCCTTTCCCTGCGGGCGCCTGAGGTGACAGTGGCAGAAAACAGGGCTCTTCCCCCTGGGAGCGCATCCCCGGCACGCGCCAAGGCGGTGGCACCCCGAGCTCTGCGGGCACTACCACCCCCTTTTCCAGCCGCAGCTTAGCCAGACCTGCATGACTGAGCAGCAAAGAAATAGCAAGTTGAAAAGGCGAGCTCGCCGCGGTTAGCGGGAGGTGCAGGAAGGCAACCGCCAGGCCAGCAGCCGTGCCAGGGTGGCCACCCTACGCCTCCAGCGAGCCACAGCCCCCCCGGCAGGGTGGCATCGTGGGACCCGTGTTCCCCGTCCCCGCTGGGAGGGCTCAGGGCCTCCCCAGCCAGAACCTCGGGCAAGGTTTCGTCTCCACGCTCCAGCATGGCAGCGCCAGTGCAGCCGCACCAGTATGCAACTGGGACCAGATGCGCAGCAGCAGGAGCCTCGTGCTCTGCAACGCCGAGGGATTTGCACAAACCTCCGTAAAAGGGAAGGGGGGAGCGGTCCCGCAAGCGCACTGAAATAACATGCAAATCAAACATTAATTTTTCATCTCCCATCAAACCAGTAAGGGAAGAATATTGGCTGCACTGGAAGGTGAGGCGGGGGGGAGACAGTTTCCATGGTAACGGGGCCCTATTTTGCAAAGTGCTCGGCAGCCCCAACTGCCCCCCCCCTTCCCCAGGCACTCACGCACGTCGTGCATGGTTACCCGCAGCCGTCTGCGGACGCGCTGCGCTGCTCCTCTGGAAACAAAAGCCCTGCAAGAGCCGGAGTGGCACAGGAGGAGGCAGCGGAGCAGCCAAGAGCAGCGGTGCCGTGGGCCCCCGGGCCAGCAGCGCAGCGCCCACCCGAGCCACGCTCCCCTGTGTGGTGAGCTCAAGGGGAGCGCAGCCCCAGGCTCCTGCCCGGGCAGCCGGAGAGGCCGAGGAGAGCGACGGGCAGGAGCGGGCAGGGCAAGGGCACCGCCAGCCCGGAGCACAAACCAAGCCCTGCCTGGACCTAGCAGCCCCCCCGGCCCGCCGGGGCTCCCCCACACCCACAGCCCCCACGTCCC